CTCATTATGTGTAGGTATTCCCCAACCTTCTGTTCCTGGCCTTTTCTCTCTCTTGCTTTCACTCTTGGGAATCTTATCAGCTTCCATAAATTCAGTTATTATTTCTAAGTAGAAAACTCCCAAATCTAGAAGTCCTAATTTCTCCGCTGAACTCCATTCCAACATTGGCAGCTACCTGCTACTAAGTGTCCCATTTGGATCTCACACACACATCATGTCCAAAATGAAACTCACTAATTTTTCTCCCACTTTCATCCTTTCTCCAATTCCCGGATTTCTGTCAAGGGCACCACCATCTTTCTAGTCCCTCAGGTTTGCAAACTCTGAGTCCATCTCCCTCACTGCACCTTTCCCCCCAATATCCAGTCAGTTAACAGATCTTGTTTTGATTTTACTTCCATGGCCATTCCTTTGTCTTTACCTGGTCTCCACATGGGCTCTCACCTAAGCTATTGTAATTGCTTCCTTCTGTTATAATATCATTATTTCCCTATCTCTAATTTATCTTCCTTGTAGATGCTAAATTAATATTCCCTAAGATGTAAGTCTGACCATGGCATTCCCCTCTGCCATTCTATACTTATTTCTTCTTGCCCACCTTTATGAACTCTACTTTCAGTCAGACCTGATTTTAGCTACTTTATGGTCTCTACATGCTGTATCCTACTTCTCTGCCTTTGTATAGGCACCTGGCATACTGGGCATCAATTCTCTTCTTACCTCTACTTCTTGGAATCCCTGACATAATTCAAAGCTTGGCTCAGGTGCTGCCTTCTATAGAAGACTTTTCCTGAACTGCACAGCTCTTGGTGTTTTCTACTGCCTGTATTACTTTATATTTACTTATGTACTCTATAATATAAGCTCCTTGAGGTCAGGGACATTTGGGGAGGAGGAGTGTTGTCTTTTTTTTCTCCCAGTGCCTTATATACAGTAGACATTTAATAGTTTAATTAATGGAATAGTAATAGGCCACACTATTGTGTCAGGGAAATTATATTGATTTTTTTTTAGTAGAGGCATTATATAATCTACGAAGTTACCAAGATTCAGATAGCAGTAGTGTCTAAATATAAGAAAACATTGTTGTTAATCCAGTCTTCTTAAACTCTACCCCTCTTCACATAGTCTTTGATCCAGGTTCACTGCCCTACTTGCCTCTGTCTTCCACTCTGTGCCTTTACACTGGCTGTCTCCCATCTCTAGAATGCTTTCCCTCCTCACCTCTGTACCTTTTAGTTTGCTTGGTTTCCTTCCAGATTCATCTCAAATCCTGTCTTCTGTGGGACGCCTTTCCTAGTCTTCCAAGCTGCTAGTGCCTTTCCCCTTTGAGATTATCTTCTATAAACTCTCTCTACATCTTGTCTGTACCTAGTTATTTACATGTCATCTTCCACATTTGAATGGAAGTTCCTTGAGGGCTAGGATTGTTTTTTGCCTTTGTGCCCCTAGCATTCAACCATGCTCTGGCACATAGTAAATGTTGAATAATGACTGACTGACTTAATCAGATACAATATTGTGTGCATGTTGACTTGCTGATTCCTTTAGGGCAAATAATATTTTCAGTAGTAGCATATGCAGTTATGAAGCATGAAGGACAACGTTTGTGTGTTTATATACATACATGTACACGTGTGTATATGTATGCCAAAGACCTAATACCAGCTAATGTCTTAAGTAGAAAAGAACAGTAAGCAAATTAATGAACTGTGTTTGTCTTTATGGATGAATTTCAAAACTGCTGATGTTTAATGCTTTTTGCCTTGATTAAAATCATTAGCAATTCAAATTTATTTGCATTTCACACAGTATTTTGAATTACATTTAGCATCTGCTAGCCAGGGTCTCCAGACTCTTACCTTTAATCACCTTATCTAGACAGAAGATATTACTTAAATAAATGTTAGAATAGAAGTAGAGAAGGCAATTCCTGATCTTCTTCCTTACTGAAGATCTTAGCCAGTGTCTGATAAGTAGCTGTAACAGACATACTACATAACGCCAACAGATAATTATTAACTAGTGATGTGTTAGCTGGTTCTGTGCTAGATGCTGGGGATATAAAGACAAAAAGGGACAGTTCCTGCCTTAAGGTAGCTTATAGGTTTCCCTTTTTAATGCCTATCAGAGCTTGCCTAATCACTAATATTTCTAAGTTGTATCAGTAACATTTGCCCTGAGAAAATTTAGTCTTTTTCGTATGTGTTGATTTGGTAATTCATTGCATTTTGAATAAGAGGTATTTATGAAGAAAATGATAAATCAAAGTGATTCTAAGCATTTGAAAGTTTTTTAATTGACCTCATGATCTTTGGTAAAGAGATTTCTTATAAAAACTGATTTTTAAAAAATAAATTTCTTCTAGCACGTATCCATGTACTTGAATAATGAACACTCTGTTCAGCTTTTCTATTCTAGAATTGCTTTGTCTCCCCCCCCCAAAAAAAAACCCTCAGCAACCCCAAACTTGTTATGTGAAGAGCTTCTTTTCTGTTTTAAAGGATTTGCTCCTTGTTGGGAGGCTCTAATTCAGCGATTCTTAACTAGTCCTCTGTGGATTTCCAAAGGGGTGTATGTATAGATTTCAGGGGGTCCATGATCTTGGATGGGGAAAAAAATTATATCTTTATTTTCCTTAACCTTTAATTGAAAATGTGTTTTCTTCAACTATTTTAAAATCTTATTTTCTGAAGGAGTTCATTGGTTTCACCAGAACTGCCAAAGGAGTCCATGAAACATTAAAGGTTAAGAACTCCTTATTTGGTTATTTAAAGTTGTTTTAACAAATTGCTCACACATTTTTCCCTGGTTTTTTATTTGTTTAGGCCAGCATTATATATGTTAAAGCATTCAACTGATTCCTGTTCTTTAAAATATTAACTGTAATGCACAGTTGGAAGTTGTAGTATGAAATAAAAAGTTATATAGCTTTGTGGACAGGATAATGACTGAATAACATCAGTTGAGGGCACTTTCATTATTGAAGAAATATTGGACTTTGGGAAATTATAATATCTTGGAAGCAGAAATATTTTCAATACCCACATCAGTCTTTCAGCTGAAGAATAAAGCTGGGAAAAGTTGCTGTTAGCTATTAGTTTTCCTGAATCCAAAGAGACGGGTGGGGCAGGATCAAAAATACTTACTTGATCAAAGTTATTGGCTCTGAAGGTATTCTTACCTATGTAAGAAAGATGAAAGGTGTTGTTTTTATTGCACGCTAGTAACAGTGTAATTTTGAACTAATTGGTGTTGAACTGCCAATCACCTAGGGGGAATGCAAATAGATACTCTTACAGTTTCCTTTGAGGTAGTGAAATCTTATGTCGGGGCTGGAAGAAAAACAGAATAATACCGTTAAATTGACCTTAAATGAGCTGCTTTGTGGTTTTCTTGGAGAATCCCTTCTAATTTTTCACAACTAGTCCAAACAGGTTTTGTCTACCAATTTGACTTATTGGCTAGACAATGCTGACATTGAACTTTTTAGGTGCATTTTGAAATAATGTAATTATGATATGATGCTTAAATCTAGTTTGCCTCATCTTTTTTATATGCAATTTTCCATTCTTATTTGTTTGTATTGGCAATTTTAAGTCAAACTTCTGCCAAACAAAATCATTATTCTAATAAAGGAAGTGAATTAATACTCTATACTAAAAGGGCAACTATTGCTTTTAGTGTTATATATTATACTGTGAGAAATTGGCTGGTTTATAAAAGCACAATTTGCTTGAGAATATGAAAGTATGATAGATGAAATTTTTATATAAATTTCACTTATAAACTGTCCCTTTTGTGCCTGACACATGTATGCCCAACAAAATTAGTGCTTCAAAAATAATCTCTTTCAGTTTTATCCTTGAAAAAAAATCATGTTTGGCCTTCCAAACACATGTACTTTAGACATGTGCTCTAGAATCCAAAGGGAAACAGTTATTTTCATGTTTTTACATAATTTCTTGATAGCAGTATATTACAAATAAATGCGTTTTGATTCATTCATTCATAAGATCAAAGCAAATTCCTTTCGAAAGCCGTATATACTCCCTAGGTTTTTCTTAATCTTTATTATATTGGAGCGTTTCTCCATAAAATACAGGGAATGAAATCTGTATTTGGATTTCATAGTCATAGTAACTTTCTTTATGGTACACTTTTTACAGCTGAAAAAACTGAGCCCTAGAAAAGTGAAATGACTTGCCTAAAGTTACATAGTAACAAATGGAAGAGCTAAAATTTGAACCCATTTCCTCCAACTTCAAATCTAACACCATTTCCATTGTACCATGCATGCTTCACAGTAAGGAGTTACCATGAAGTTTTAAAATAACTAGAATGTAAGAGAATATCTTTATTACTAAAGTAATACAGTTCACATTATCTTTGGTTCATTTCAGATCTCATGTTTTAGCCTTCCCATTAAGAATCTGTTATATTATAGCTATATGAAAGTTCCAGGTAATGTCATATTGGAATGAACTTCCTGTAAAGATAAAATATCCAGTTTTATAATAATATAATGCATTTCTTAATTAGAAAATAGTACTTTTATGTATACTAAATAGATATTATTTTAATTCTCTATTCTATATAAAATCTTGCTTAATAAATGATGAACACTGATATTAAATAATCATTATTCATTAATGAATTAGTTACATGTTTTCTGAAGCATTGTGTGTAGTCCTAGTGTTCTTAGTCACCTACAGAGATGATATTTTCTTACATATAGGCTCAATAAGAATAATGTTTGTAGAAGTTGTATTAAAGTGCTAAAGGAAAAGCAATATATTTTTCTCTAAATAATTTGTGTTAGTATTTGTATTTATTCTGAAAACCAAACATGGAAGAACCTATCAGCATTTGAAATGTTTTACAATTGATTCTAATTGAATATATGTGCTACCTGCTTTGTAGTGTTGTTTTACAGGATGATTGTATTTTTAAAATTTGTTTATTTTGTTATTTTTCTAAAATATCATTTCTTTGGACAGGGTTATCTTCATCAGTGGAATATAATACAATGGAACTGGAAAAAGAACTTGACAATGTGAAAGCAATGAAGTCAAAATTAGGTATTGAACTTTTCTACTCTATTGACTTGTTACTGCATCTTACTGAAGAATATTGTATTTGATAAAACATAAAAAGTTTTAATTTTTATTAAGTATTAAAAGCTGTTACCTTGATCAAAGATGTCATATGGTTTTTCTCTGGGTGTGGTGGGGTGAGACAGGACATACTTATTTATCTTTTAGAACTTGTTTTATATTTTACCCAGAAGAAGATATTTTCTAATAGATCAGGAAAAGAATATAGGATGTCAAATAGGAAGCATAAATGGAAGTTGTGAGTAAGGCAAACAGGGGCAAGGACAGCAAGAGAACATTAGAGACGGTGAGTAGGCAGGATATTAAACTAAGAAATCATCTCACCATCATCACGTGTTGGAAACCTTCACCTGCAGACCTTGAAATGCCCTCAAAATCTGATAACCCTTTAAATTTGAATAACACTGAGCCCAAATAATAATTGAGTTGCTTTTAGGTAGTATCTCCTCAGCAGGATACTAGTAAACAGCGATTCCTCAAATTACTACTTATTATAATTCCTAGGATCATAGCCTATAGGTGATCTACTCTACCTCCCCAATGCCATTTTACAGACAACAGAGCTAAGGCCTAGAGAGGTTACCCGACTTGCCTAAGGTTAAAAAGGCAGATCCAGAACTTAGACAATCAAGAAACATTTATCAAGTACCTCCTATGTGTCAGGAACCATGCTAGGTTTTTGGGATACAAAGACAAAAATGAAACTCGTCCTGCTGTTAAGGAGCTTATGTTCTATTCAAGCCAAGGCCTCTGACTCAAATTGTGTGATCTTTCAGCACTACAGCATTGCTTCCCAACCAACATTACTGAGTCATATAATCTTGCAGATAAAATTAGGATGTTAAAATAGTTACATTTGACATTTTTAAATGAAAAGGTAGAAGAAATGGCATATGTATTCATCAGAATGTTTCAAAGATCTAGGTAGATGAAAAGTTGTCCATTGGCTTGTAAACTTATCTGCAGGTCCCTCCCTAAGCTAAGTATTTCCAGGAAAACAAATTCACTTATGTGAGGGGCTCTTAAGCTTACAGGTCGGAGCCCAAGAGTCTGGTGAATCTAGCACTGGTTTGTTGTGAGCATCAACTGATGTAACAACAGATCTAAAGCAAAAAGCCCTGTTTGTGTTTGGAGCTGGGCCTGTGAACAAGGCTTAGTTCTGACGACGAGCCGAAAGAGTCTCTTAAATAGATCTCTGTTTGCATCAATTTTAACTTTTATTGTGGTGGCAGGAATTTCTTTATGGGCTTTTACGTTTTCTTTGGCTGCACTAAGGTTGTGTGCAGGTTAGACCATATAATTGATATGGTAAATAGTAAAATAGTCTCTTACTGGCTTTATGCCTTTAACTATTGAATAGTTATCCATTCCTTTCCTATTTGAGCTTAAAACAAACAAACAAAAAAATGGGGATTTAGGTTCCTTGGATATTATCTGATTTAAGCTCTATCTATAGATGAGGAAATTGAGAACCAGTGAAGAAATTAACATACAAGTTTTTCTGTGTCTCTTTGAAACCACTTATTTCATGATCTCTTACATAAAAACAGTATTCCATCACATTCAAATACCATAATTTGTTCAGCTATTCCCTTATTGTTAGACATCCCTTTAGTTTCTAGTGTTTTTTTTAACCAATATAAAAGAGTTGCTATAAATATTTATGTAACTATGGCATCTTTTCTTTTTCTTTGATTTCTTTTGAGTATAGCTAGGTCAAAGGCATGTACAGTTTAGTAACTTTTTGTGTATAATTCCAAATTGCTTTCCAGAATGGCTAGCCTTTCCAGGTAGTCAAAGGGGCCTGAAATATTTGATCAGATATAGACAAGTGACTGAACAAAATTCATACTTGGTCATATCCTACGCATCCCAGTAGTTCTGAACCCATTTAGGTAATCATCCAAACCCCATTCCCCATTTCCCATCACCTGATTCCTTATTCCTATCCTCCTTAACCCTCCCACCCCAAAGTATCAACCAGGCGCTACTTATCCCTTCCACTGTGCCCTTTGGATTTCCTGTACCATAGACCACAAACTTGCCTTCATCTTAAATCTTTTCCTCTTCCATTCTTTCTGTCTTTTGGCAATCACTGAGACCTGACTCCCTGTGATGACAAAGGCTCCTAGGCTACTCTTTCCCATATTGACTGTACTTTTAACACATTGTCCTAGGCTCACAGGTTGCAGTGGGGTAATTGGAATACTCCTTGTTCCCAATTGCCACTTCTAGATTTTCTCCCTGCCACCATAACTCAGTAACCTTTCCTTCTTTCCGTCCATACAGTCCACATTTTCTACCCAACCAAAATCCTAGTAGCTGTTGTTTACAGACTTTTAGGACATTTTTTCCTTCTTCAGTGAGCTCAGTACTACAGTCTTTCTCTTCTCCTCAACTCTTGCCGTAATACTAAGGGACATGCATACATACATACATATTGAAATGCCTTCAAACACTAACTGCTCAGTTCCTCAACCTACCCACTTCCCATGACCTACATCCCCCTCAGCCACATACAAAGATTCCCCTGATCTTGCCATCACTCACAAATGCCTCAAGTTTAGGCTCAATAACTCTGAAATCCCCGTACCTGACCTTATCTATTGTCTTTTCTTTCTCTTTCTTCCTTCACATACCAAACCCTACTCTTTGTCCACACTGTGATCTCTAATCCCTTGATACTTCAATTCTCTCCCAGGCCATTACCCTTGCACTAGCTACTCTCTCTTCTTTTCTTCATCTTGACCTCTTCGTGAACCAATTCAACTCTACACTGTCCACTTTTGATTCTCTGGCTCCTTTATCACATCACTGGTTGTACCCTGCCACACCTCAGCTTTGGATCATTCCCACCATTTGTTGACCTTGTTCCTACACATATTCTTATGAACAAAGGTGGAGAAAATCATGTAACTCTTCTGACTGGGTCCACTACAAATTTATGTTATGAAACCTCAACTGATCCTTCATCACTGCTAGATGATTCTTCTACACCTCCCTTCTACACTTCCCTACAGATCATCTTCTTCACATCTTTTTCATCTGTCTTCAAACTTCCCATGATTCCCTTCCCCCTCCCATCTCAACTGAGAACCTTGCCTTATATTTTACTGAAAAATTGGGGCCTTTCACAAAGAGCTCCTTCTCTACTCTTCATGATCCTATATCACTCAGATGCCTTCTGCTACTATTTCCTCTTTCACCCCATCTTGCACAAAGAGGTGACCCTATTCTTTGCCAAGACAAACCCCTCTACTTGCACAAGCAATTCCATTCCATCCCATCTCCTCCAGCAAATTGTCCCCTCTGTGATCTCTACTCTCATTTATTTTCAGTCTCTCATATCTTCCAGCTACTTCCCTGTTCTCTACAAACATACTCATGGCTCCCTTATCCTCAAAAACTCCTCACTTGATTCTTCCATCCTCACTAACTAATCTTCTGTATCTCTTCTGCCTTTTGGGGATAGGCTGTGTACAATAGATGCCACCATTTTCTCACCTCTCATTCTGTTTTTGACCCTTTACAACAAGGCTTCCAACCTCATCCTTACATCAAAACTGCTCTCTCCAGAGTTACCAATGATCTCATAATTGACAATTCCAGTGGCCTTTTCTCAGTCCTCATTCTCCAACCTCTATGCAGCTTTTGACACTGTTGATCACCTTCTCCTTTCTACTCTCTTCTCTCTGGAGTTTTTTGACATCACTTTCTCCTCATTCTCCTACCTATCATACTGCTCCTCAGTCTCCTTTACTGCATTCTTGTCCAGATAACTTCCTCTAACTACAGGTGTCCCTAAGGGTTCTGTCCTGGGCCTCTTCTCCCTCTGTACTACTTTACTTGGTAATCTCATCAGCTTATATGGATTTCATTACAAATTCTTTGCTGATTCTCAGATCTACCTTTCCTGCCTCAACCTCTTTGCTGACCCAGTCTTACATCTCCAACTACCTTTCAGACTTTTTGATCTGAATGTCCAGTAAACATCTTAAACTCAATATGTCTAAAAAACTAAATTCATTATCTTTCTCCCTTCGCCCTCCTCTCCAACCCTATCTTCCCTATTATTGTAAAGGGCAACACCATCCCCCCAGTCCCTCAGGCTGGTAACCTAGGAGTCATTCTCAACTCCCTACTGTCACCCCTCCCCCATATCTAATCTATTGCAAAAGCCTGTAGATTTAACCTTCACAACATCTCTCCAGTACATTCCCTACTCAAATACTGCCACCACTCTCATGCAAGTCCTCATAACCTCATGCCTGGACTATTGCAGTAGCCTGCTGGAGGGCCAGCTTGCCTCAAGTCTCTTCCAACTGTATCCTCCGTTCTGCCACAAAGAGACTTTTCTGAAGGACAGGTTCACCACATCACCCCCTACTCAATAAACTCCAGTGGCTGCCTGTCACCTCTAGATGTCTTTGGCTTCTTTCATGTCCCAGCTAAAATCCCACCTATGAAAAGCCTTTCCCAATCCCTCTGAATCCTAGTGGTTTCCCTCTATTAATTATTTCCTATTCATCCTGCATAGAACTTTCTTGTACATATCTGTTTTCTTATCTCCCCCATTAGATTGTGAGCTCCTTGAGAGCAGGGACTGTCTTTTTTTTTTTTTTAATATATCCCCAAGCACTTAGCATAGCATCTGGCACATAGTAGGTGCTTAATAAATGTTTATTGACTGAATGAGTTGAAGCAATTTCTACCTTGTGTCTGCTGACTATCAAGGGAACTAATGAAAAGAAATGCAAGGGAAAGTGGCCTAGCTGTACCAGATCTTAAATTGTATTATAAAGCAGCAATCATCAAAACGACTTGGCACTGGTTAGGAAATAGAGTGGGGAATCAGTGGAATAGGTTAAGTATGTAAGACGCAACAGTCAATGACTATACTAATCTACTATTTGATAAATTCAAAGACTCACGCTTCTGGGATAAAAAATGAGAGTAGAAATCACAGAGGGGACAATTTGCTGGAGGAGATGGGATAAAAAAAATCACTATTTAACAAAAACTGCTGGGAAAAACTGGAAAATAGTATGGCAGAAACTGGGTATAGACCATCATCTTATACCCTATACCAAGATAAGGTCACAATGGGTACAGGATTTAGAGATAAAGACTGATACTATAAGCAAACTAGGAAAGCAAGGATTAGTTTACCTTTCAGATCTATAGAAAAGGAAAGAATTTATGACCAAACAAGAGATAGAGAACATTATGAAATATAAAATGGATAATTTTGATTACGTTAAATTGAAAAGTTTATGCACAGACAAAGCCAATGCAACCAAGATTAGGAGGGAAGTAGAAAATTGGGGAAGAATTTTTACAACCAGTGTCTCTGATAAAGGCCTCATTTCTAAAATAATAGAGAACTGAGTCAAATTTATAAGAATACAAGCCATTCTCCAATTGATAAATGGTCAAAAGGTATGAACAGGCAGTTTTCAGAGGAAGAAATTAAAACTATAGTCATTTGAAAAAATGCTCTAAATCACTATTGATTAGAGAAATGCAAATCAAAACAACTCTGAGGTACCATATCAAACCTGTCAGATTGGCTAACATGACAAAACAGGAAAATGATAAATGTTGGAGAAGATGTGGGAAAGTTGGAACACTAATGCATTGTTGATAGAGTTGTGAACTGATCCATCCATTCCAGACGGCAATTTGGAGCTATGCCTAAAGGGCTGTAAAATTGTGCATACCTTTTGACCCAGCAATAGCACTTCTAGGGCTATATTCCAAAAAAGATCATAAAAATGGGAAAAGGTCCCACATATACAACAATATTTATAGCAGCTCTTTTTGTGGTGGCAAAGAATTGGAAATTAAGGGGATGCCCATCAATTGGGGAATGGCTGAATAAGTTGTGGTACATGAATATAATGGAATACTATTGTGATATAAGAAATGATGAGCAGGCGGACTTTGGAAAAAACCTGGAAAGACTTACTGAACTGATGCTGAGTGAAGTGAGCAGAACTAGGAGAACATTGTACGCACTAATAGCCACTTTGTGCAATGACTGACTTTGATAGACTTGGCTCTTCTCAGCAATGCAAGGATCTAAGATAACTCCAAAAGACTCACGATAGAAAATAATATCCACATCTAGAGATAGAACTATGGAGTCTGAATGCAGATGGAAGCATACTATTTGCTCTCCTTTTCTTTTGTTGTTTTGTTTTATTGCTTCATTTTCGTAGTTCCTCCCACTAGTTCTAATTCTTTACATCATGACTAATGTGAAAATATGCTTAATATGAATGTATAAGTGGAGCCTATATCAGATTGCATGCCACCTTGGGGAGGGGGAGGAAAGAGAGGGTAGAAAATTTAAAACTCAGAATCTTGTGGAAGTGAATGTTGAAAAAGAAAAAAATCAAATTTTAAAAAAAAGAACAAAAAAGAACTGAAAAAAATATCCCCAAGCACTTAGCATAGCATCTGGCACATAGTAGATACTTAATAAGTATTTATTGACTGAATGAGTTGAATCAATTTTATTGGCAGGAGAGATGAAGGAAATCACTTTTTAAAAATTCTTGGTTAAGTCTTAGGTAGCGGTTGTCCCTTTCTGTAGTGGAACAGACCTAGCTGAGGAGCTTTCCTTGGCGGAAGGGAGTAGAAAGGAGAGACTTTTTATTTACCTCACTATGTATGTTCTTCCACAACCAGTCAAGCATTGCTACCCCTTTTTTTTCTCTAAAAACCACAGATAGCCCAGTAATTTGCCTAATAACCCAGAAAAATATATAAAGAAACACATAACTTTTCTTTCCATCAGTGTATTTGAAAAAATGTTTTCATTAAAGATCTATATTCATGGATTTATTTTAGTGAAAATTATGATATAAAATACTTTTTGGGGGTGATGGGAATGGAACATTTTCTTAACTATTGCTCTTGCCTGGATTTGATGAGGTGAGGTGAGATTAAAATTTATTCAACTGAAAAGCTATAGTGTGTGGTTTGTACTAAGTTTCTTTTGGTGAAGGAATACTAATTTCAAGTGCTATCTGGGTCAGCTGATCTCCTATAATTGGCTAAAAAAACTGGATTGCCATACTCCATGGAAAGGAATGAGTCTCTTTAGTTGAGGAAAAGCAGAATACCTCTGAGTCAGTTATGTGAGCCGAAATGTGAAAAGCAAGTTTTGGGTCATCTACTCATGCACTATACTGCTTTTACAATTGTAGTTTTTAAAGGAAATAATTATGTCTCTATTCCAATATAATGACTTAAAAAGAAAACAAAAACTTAAACATGTCTTCAGAGACCAGTCATCACAGGGTCAAACTGGTGAACGGGAAAAAAAATCTCTGGTTTCTAGCCCATGACTTGGCTGGAAGAAAACTGAAGCAGTTTCTTTACCTATGATCAGTGAAAATTTTAAACTGCAAATATTATAGAGAGCATTGAAATTGAATCATTAAATTTCTTTTTCATTCTTTTCTTGAAAAGAGAGACGAAAAAAAGCTTCAGCATGGGAACGGAATTTGGTGTATCCTGCTGTGATGGTCCTTCTTCTTATCGAAACAGTAAGAATTTCTCTATGGTTTGGGAAAAGCAAACCATTGCTTATTTATTTTCAGATTTACTCTAAAATGAAGTGTAGTAACTGGCTTTAAAGTAAAAGTATAGTTAACTAGCATTCTGAATCAAACTGGCTTCCCACTTTTAAGAGTTTGAATGTATGTATCTATGCTTATTCGGCATGCCAAAAAAAAAAATGGCTTTTGATAGCAAGATCCCACAAACCCTCAATGTGAGATAAATCCTCATGGAATCTACAAAATGGGATTTTTCCATCCTTCCTTCACCAGAAAAAGAAGTTAAGGTTTTTCTTTTTCTTTTTTTGGGGGGGGGGTTAGGCAATGGGGTTAAGTGACTTGCACAGGGTCACACAGCTAGTGAGTGTTATGTGTCTGAGGCCAGATTTGAACTCAGGTCCTCCTGAATCCAGGGCCAGTACTCTATCCACTATGCCACCTAGCTGCCCCAAGATTTTTCTTGACAAGCAGCTTTTGAATGTAGAATTCAGATCTTTGGGAGCTTCAAGTTTCTTCATTAGTAATGGATACCCTGTATATCTGCCATTATTTCCAAGGGTTCTGCTTAATAATATTCATTAACTAAAGTTTTATTCTTTGTATGTTAGAAAGTTCTGTAAAACCAGCTGCCTTGCCTTAAAACAAAAATGAGCTTTATGGACTAGTGCACACTTCCAGTTAACATCCTTCTTTTCTTTCCAGTCCATTTCAGTCCTGCTGGTTGCCTGCAACATTCTTTGCCTCTTGGTTGATGAAACTGCAATGCCAAAGGGATCGAGGGTAAAGTAAAACTTCACTACCTTTTCCTTTTACAGATGGACCTGTTTTTGTTCTTGGAGTATTCCAAACAGTAAAACTAAAAAGTTTCATTTATTTAATGTTTTATATAATATATTGAGAATTCTAGTATCTTTTTCTTTGTGCAAAAAAAATCTGTCATAGACTGTTTATAATTATGATCCCCCTTTCCTAATTTTTTAAAAATTGGAATGGTAAGTAGCACTTTAATTAAAATATATAGCTTAAATTTAGATACAAAGTCTGGAAGTTATCTTAACATTTTAAAAAACATAACTCAATTTTTTCCTTTAAGAAAGTACCAATTTACAAAATGTTGAAATGAATACAGTTAATCAAATGTATTACATCTTCATAAGATCCAGATACTTAGCTTAAAGGAGATGTGCCTAAGAATAGTTCAGTCTCATGTTTTATTAAAATTAATGGGAATACACACTTGTTGCAGGGAAATGGAATTTACCTTTTTTTTTTTAGAGAGTAACTTTTTCTGTGGGAACTTAAATAAAAACAGTGTTTTAATATATTCAAAAATTTCTTATTTGAATATCTCCTCTTTTTAGAAGGTACTTCAGTGGACCTATGATCTCAATGATTTTTTTTTTTGGCTAGGCAATGGGGTTAAGTGACTTGCCCAGGGTCACACAGCTAGTAAGTGTCAAGTGTCTGAGGCCGAATTTGAACTCAGGTCGTCCTGGGCCGGTGCTCTATTCACTGCACCACTTAGCTGCCCCTGATGTCAATGATTTTAATATTTTCTCTAAGGATCTAGGTTATAATCCATGCTTGCCCATCTTGTGCTCTTCCTATCCATGTCCTCCCATAAGTTCTACCCAATGTGCTGGGGGCCTTCCTTACTTTCTCCAGATGTTGTGAGATTACCACTGGAGCATTAGGCTGTCTACTTGTTCTTTTGCTTTTTCTATGAGACCATTCCATCATCCATCTTTCATTTCTCTAATCATTTTCTTCACTCTAGTTCTTCCTAGTTCTTAATTTGTTTTATGTTGCAGCTTGATCACACCCAAAATGTATCACTGTAGTGCTCTTTGCGATACTTTAATTTCTCAGACACTAGGCAGGGTTAGGAACCTGCGGCCTCGAGGCCACATGTGGCTTTCTAGGTCCTTGGGTGCAGCCTTTTGACTAAATCCAAGTTTTACAGAAGAAATCCTTTTATTAAGGGGATTTGTTCTGTGAAGTTTGAATTCAGTCAAAGGGCCACTCTTGAAGACGTAGTGGGCCACATATGGCCTGGAGGCCGAAGGTTCGCCACCCCGGAGAGTGTTTCATACTTAAAACTATAGCAGCATAATCTTTAATCATCATTCTCATTTTACAAATTAGTATGTATTCTAAAGTTTTGCTTTTAGCTTTTCTCTTCGCTTGACAAATATGTCAAGTATTTGCTGACTAAGAGAATTTTGGAGTTCTTTTGGTCTCTTTGATTTTTTATTAATTAAACCTGTATGAATTTATTATAGTCCATGTTTGTATCCTTTCTTTCATTTATTTGACCAATTTTTATTTTGAATATCTTGTTTTAATAGGTCAGAATTGAGTTGTTTCAATAGCGGGTCATATGTTTTCCTCATTTTTATTTTTCTAGCTTTACATTTATTTTAATCTTGACTCTAGCCAATTGTGCTCTGACTACACAGTAAATTGATTCAGGAATGAGGCCTACATCAATAATGAATCATTTCCTTTCCATTAATATATAATCTGTTTCATTTTAAAATATTATTTTGTGCTTACATATTTAGTACCTTTTGATTATTTTTTTATTCATAGTATATAGTAAAAAGAATGATAATAACAATAGATGGCATTTACATGGTGTTTTAAGATTTGCAAAGTGCTTTATCAGTAGTGTCTTATTTTTATCCTCAGAACAATCTTGGGAAGTAGGTGCTATTATTACCTCCATTTTACAGATGAGGAAACTGAGGCAGACAGAGGTTAAGTGACCTGCCCAGGATCCCACAGCTAGTAAATGTCTTAGGCCGGACTTGGACTCTGGTTTTTCTGATTCCAGGTCCAGCACTTTACCCACCGCTCCACCCAACTGCCTCTATAAGCTTGAGACATGGAATATTTTACAAGTCTCATTCTTTTTTCCAAAATTCATGTTTTCATAATACACACACATATGTATATTTGCAGTCATAATCTAGTCTTACCTTTGCATTGAATTCACCAAGGAACAAAGTATAAGAGTTCTTTTTATAATTTCTCTGCCTCTTCATCCTCTCCAACAGATGTTGTATAAGCTGCTATTATTTTCATGCTGATCTTTTTACAAATATTTATCATGAGCACTGCAGCAAAGTTGACCAAATGCCCCATGAAATGATAGGCACATGATAACACTAACTCTTGTCAATTCCTTTATTGACCTCTGCAAGGGAAGAATCTTTTATTCATCCTCCTATTTAGCACTAACTTCTGTTTTCTTCTGGTTTTGTTTATAGAAAGAATACCAGAATTGATAAAATTTAGTTCCAGTAGTAGTATGTCTACCTGTTGGTCATTGGACAAGGATCTCACATTCAGAGTATTAACAGCTAAGTTAAAGTTTATAGATGACCTAAAAGCTGTAATTTTTAGCTTTTTAACCCCTTTTCTTCTACTCTGCTGCCATCACTGTACAAGTGGAAGGGCCATAAGACCATATACCATTTTTTATTTTGTTTCATTTTGTTTTGTCATAGCCAAAGAATTCATTATTGGGTGGCTAGACTACTTGTGATGAATCCCTTCATAGTTAGCTTTTTGGTTCTTAGAAAGCAAACTAAGTCCGTTGCTGGGACCATACTTTGGAGCCTTTCCAACATGGTAGTCCCTTCCAGAACGTGGACACTACTTTTATAGCCATTAAGATCATGCTACAATGAGGTCATTAAGGATTAAGACTTTGTGGAAGATATAGAAGATAGTTATTACAAAAAACACATACACACATTTGCGTCTAGATAAAAGTCACCGCGAAGTTTCATATTTGTAGAGAAGTTTTAATAATTTTATGAGTGCTGATTAATACCACTAGTTATCAAAGTCAGGTAAGCAAATTGTGTATTGTATTTTTGCAATATAATATCATTAAAATTATGATCAGAGAGGCTGCTTTAAGAAGGAATCACTGAGTACTTTTTGCTCATCTTAGTCTTTGAACTTTGAACTCCTGCCACCTCTTCTTCATCTCCTCCACTTCTAACCTTACTGTTATAGCTTAAAGGCAGAGGTCACTTTTGTGAAATTCCTAGCCCATATTAGGAGCAAGAGGAAGCTGGAAGTAACCTCAGAGTTTATCTACCTTAACCCTTTCATTTTATAGATGAAGAAACTGATGCCTTGGGAGGTTAATTGACTTACCCGGAGACACATAAGTTGTGTCTGTGGTGAGACTTGAACTCAGGTTCTTTTACTCCAGAGCTCTTTTGACTGTAACATGATGCCTTCTAGTTACTTTTAATTTTTACTACCAGAGCCCTTTCTTGAAGATATAAGCTTTTTGAGGGCAGAGACAATTTTTTTTTATTCCCTAGTACTTATCACAGTGCTTCGTGTGTAGTAAGTTCCCAATAAATATTTATTAAAACAAATTTAGTTGTTAAAAGTTCTCTATCTCCATGACTGTTGTCCTCTTTTTATTATTACATGTTTCTGCTGCATAGTAGATAGTTTAAATTCTTAACCTGACCCAAAGCCTTCTAATAGAGTATCCTAGACTGTTTTATTTCTTCCAGGCTTTATGTTCCCTTTGTACATTTAGAAAGCGGCAGCTTCACAGCAGCCAATTAAGTATCACATACATAATATGTGCTTAGTAAATGCGTGCTTAACGGAAAGATTGAGCTGATGCATCAATATCTCTGTCTTGGATGGACATTATAGGTGAACATTTAGTTGGATCTAGAATTAAGTAGGAGGAAGAGAGCTAGGATGCATTTGGGAAATTCATACCTCACTTTTTTTAAAAACAACTTTAGAATTTTCCATAAAACAAAAACCAGTTTTCTAAATACCAGTTTTTCTACCAGTGTTCTAGACTGCAAATTAGAGAATATCACAGTCTACAAAGAGCTAAAATTGTAGGTCAGTGGAAAGATGTGTAATATGTATAAATAATCTTCAGCATGTTACCAATGATGTATACAAGCAATGCCATAAAAATAACCAAAGAGATGTAAAACCATGAAGGATAAAACAGATGGACAACCTGCAGACTGCACTGATACCTTACAGGCCTAGAAGAAGGCCCCCAGCATTTGGGCTAGATCATGTATCAGTCTTATAAAAGATGAAAAAGTATTGATGCTTAGCAGTCTGTAGCATTTGAAAAAGGACCCACATCATTAAGGTCATGGATCCAATGAATCATTGAAGAATGGGTACATGAATGAACTCACTCCTCTCCAGGCCTTCTCTTTAGCTTTGCCATATTCAATTCAGCTTAGTAATTCATCGAGTTCCAACTTCGTGCCTGGCACTGAGCTGGATGCTGAGAACACAGAGGTAAATATCAAGCACTCTTCCTGCCTTTAAGGACCTTGTGTTCTGGGTGGGGAGAGTTAGGCACAGTAATAATATGTATATAGGTAAGTAAGAAGAAAATGTCTGCACAGTAAATCCAGAGGGGCAGAGTGGAAGGTCTTTAACAACAGTAAAGGAAATCTGGAAGGGCCTCATGTAGGAGGTTGCACGTTGAAAGAAACTAGAAACATTAAGAAGCTGTGGAGTAAAGGAAGTGCCAAGTTGAAGGGGATAACCAGTCCAAAGGTGGGACATGGAATACTGTGTAAGGGCACCTGCTATTTAGGAAGGGTAATAGAAAATCAATCTGCAGGAACAAATCGGAGTCAGAGGGGAAAAAGAGCTTTCTATGCCAAACCCAGGTTTGTATTTGATTTTAGAGGCTATAGGAAGCCACAGAAGCTTCTTGAGCAGGGGAGGGACATTGTCCGACTTGTGCTGTGGGAATTCTGAAATGTTCCCTTTCCCAGCCAACTAAGCTGTTTCTCTCTCCCCCCACCCCAACCCCGTCATTTAAATAGTTCCCGAAATTCCTTCTCCTCCTCCCTGGATTGATTAAAGGAGAGCTGACGGATTCCTGGTCCCTGCCATGGTTATTACTCCTTGCTTTTTAACTAAATCTGACTTTTGTATTTATATACAAATATGACTTATGTATTAGTTTTAAATTTATATTTGTCTATATGACATTTAAATGTTTTACCCTATTATCTTAGATTGAGATGTATAATATGACCCAAACTCCTTTTATTCCTTTCTCCCTCTCCCATGTATGATTGTTGCATTAGAATTTCATCTGGAGGCTCCCCTTTTTTCATTACCCAGAATTGTTATACTTTCAAATTTCACTACTAGGCTTTAAAAAAAAAAACACCTTACGATAATAAAAAGACCATGAGCTATTTTTAATAGCTGCTATTTGTGTCACAAGTAGGTTAATCTATTTCTTGGTATAGAAATTTTCATGTACAGTCCTTTTTATCAGCTATAAAAGTGTTTCTCCTGTTTGACGAATTGAATTGGCTCCATAGTTTTACCTATTTTTTGCATTGAATTTCTTTTGATTGACCACCATATTATTTATAATATTGGCCTTGTTTTCCTGCTTTTTTAGTCATGGACCTAAGCTCTCTCTTCTTTAAAACTCTAGATTAAGGTTGAGAAATTCATCAAGGCTTTGAGGTATTCATATTATATTTTCTAAATGACTAGGGGCAGGCAGATATATCCTTTTTCATTAGCCTTTGATCTGTGTCCAAAGAAAGCTTTGGGGAATAGCAAATTGTTTCCTTCTTTAAAGTACAAGAACAGGAATTGGACATACCCATTCACTTTTGGAGTTTTTGTTCTTGTCACAAAGAAATGCACATGGTGCTTCACATTTTAAATTGCATCATTGGTGTGACATGTTTCAGCATCAGGGTGACCACATATTCTATTTTGATGAGATTATTCTAGTTTTCAGTATTTTTCTCCTCAGTGATTTCTCTCCCTAACCCCAATTTCTTCTAGAATAGCAACACAACTCTTTTTCTCTCTCACAAGTATGTTAACACTGTAAACACCTTACATGATAAGTAAATGAATTACATATGATATCACAACAGTATTATGAAGTAATTCAAAATCTTAAGGAGTCAAATAAAGAAGCCACATTCTAAATGTCATGTTTTATTTGCCCTTGAAAGTCTATATATTCCAAAATAAGTAATTGTCATTTTTTAATAATCCTACATGTATCAGTTATTAAATTTAGGGAAACCAAATGCCTGTACCACTGAAATTTTGAAAAATTTTTTTAAATGTTTTTCTTTCTAGGGACCTGGCATAGGAAATGCTTCCCTTTCTACTTTTGGTTTTGTGGGAGCAGCACTTGAAATAATTTTGATTTTGTATCCTTTTTAAAAGTAGGAATTCTGTCTGTCAACAAGTATTCTGTCTAGTTTTCTGGGACACTGGTAGTTTACTAAGACACTTTCCTGGGAAGGGAGAGAAAGGACCAGGTCAATCCTTCTCAAGCACTCGAAGTGTTTTTTGTTTTGTTTTGTTTTGTTTTTCCTTTGGTTCTTAAGGCTTTTCGGAGACTGCTGAGAACCGAAGTGAAACTTGCATTCCTTTGGAGAGCTTTTCTCCTTGATTCTCACAGTTACCTTATGGTGTCCTCCGTCGTCGGCTTCTACAGCCTCCGCTTTTTTGGGAGCTTTACTCCCAGGAAGGATGACACAACTATGACAAAGGTAAGGTAAAGACTGAGGTGCTGATGGCCACCCCTTTGCCACCCAAGACATACTGACTGTTTTATTTAGTAATTGCCCTGAATGGCTCATTTACTGCGAATCAGTATTTGTTTGTAAGCTGCGCAAACACAAACTGGAAGATTTTCAAAATGCTGAATGAGTGGGAAAAAGGATGTGCTCTGTTTAGTTTGGATGGCATCCATTCACTTGTAAAACGCCTGAAATAGCAGAGCTTGTTAACCAGCTATAGAAAAGCTAGTGAAAGGACTTTTTCGCCCCCAATGAAAACGTATTGCTAATGAGTAACTTTGATTGTGCAAACTGTACTTCAGGAGCTTGTTTGAAATCTGAAGAACTTATTTGCTACAAGTAGTAGAGACAAAGATTTTCAAATTTGAATAATTAAAATAAGACTAAAGGGTTCTGTTCAGTTAACATTTTGCAGCTTGAAGTTAATTTGACTTTCCACAATTTGACACTGGTTTCGAAAAAACAAAATCTTATATATAGTGATTCAAACAAAATATCCAAACATTTTGTTAAAGAAGTGCCACAAATTAAGAAGAAAAATTAACGTTATAACTCAGATTTTTTTCTGTTCCATATTCATTGTTTTCATTTGATCATTGGAAAAGGTTCTGGAAAAAGCCTAAAATTATTGCTTTTGGTTTGCTAGAACTTTTTTGAAGACAAGCTAGATCTATGTTGAGATGTGTAATATCTAGTTTAACTGTTAGAAAATAATAATATTTTCTTATATTTTTCTTTTAACATAAAAATATTTTAATGATATGCTTTATTTCAAAATATAAGATAATAACAATAAGCTTGGTATAAATAGAGAATTAGTTCCTAGAATGTAGGTAGGTTTGTGCCTATAAATATTTGTTGTTAAGTCACTATTAAAGAAATGAGAAAGTTTGTGGAAAGTAATTTAGAAAATTTGGTGCTATTTTGATTTTTTTGGTATATTTTTTGGTATATGTAAGTGAATATATAATTTTTTTCAAATTAACACCTAAAGTTCACAGTCAGTACTCACTTCCATAAATCATATTCTGTTATCTCTTAAGTGGTGGAGGTAAGTGATGGCTTTAATAGTATTTCTGAAGTATTTTTTAAGAATTCAGGATGTGATGTTAAATGTATGCTCAGAAAAAGGATTTCTTACTAGCTTTTCAGTTCTATATTGAGAATTATAAATTTTCATTAACGAGTAAACAAAATATAAAATGCAGGATTACAAATTTTCTAGAATTTTAACTAATGAATTTTTTCTTCCATCTGCTGTTTAACTTTTTTTCTTTCTTGAAACAGATAATTGGAAATTGTGTTTCAATCTTGGTCTTGAGTTCTGCACTACCTGTAATGTCAAGAACCTTGGGTAAGTTTAGCTGAAAAAATGAGCTGAAATTTCATTCTGCTTTTGAGAACTTTGGTTAACACTTTCATGTGTGATCTTAAATTAGGAATTTTTTCTCTTAGGAACTTGACCACCTTCTGAAACACATCTTTATTTTATTTACTTTATACTCACTTCTTATGTAGACATACTTTAACCTGCAGGGAGTTAGGAATAATAGGAACAAATCCAGCAACTTTGTAAAGTAAAGATCAAACATTTTTCATGTAGTAGCATTGTCTCATCAAATTATATGAATGTTTTCACATGACCATGTCACCTTTTAGGTTCTCTAGTGTACAAATAGACTTAAAGATTCCTTAATGGGAAGAAAATATAATAGAAATTTTTTTTAAGTATGTGACAAGAATGTGTTAGAAATAATATTTAAGCTAAATCCAGAAAACATTAAAATTTAGGGAAGTAGATATTGACTAAAGGTATATTTTTCCACAATATTCAGAGATTTGAATGTTGTTGTTGGTATTAATTTTTGGATTTACAGAGCTTTTCAATGATCCTCTAATTCTCTAAACTTTTTTCAGTGATATTTTTAGTTAAAGAAAAATTTTCCTTTGTGCACACATATTTGAGCAGGTCTTGTTTTTAATCAGTTTGTCTTTTACAAAGCAATATAATGGAATGTTTCTTTCTCAAGTCTTTCACAAAATGTTATTTCTAAATAAAATTTCTCTTTAGTTAAACTATATTAAATTCTAAAAACCTATACCTTAGCTTAGGGGAATTCTTGGAAATGCTGCTAGTTGACGAAGGTGAATTGATCATTTTAAAACTGCTAGCAATATTAAGTTGCCTTAGTTTTAGCTTTTATAGAACTTCCATTATTTATGCAAAACTCATCTATCAGGGAAAAATGTAGGCTGTGCCAAGAAATTGCAACAAGCTTTGTAGTTTTGCTCACAATTCTTATGCATAATTTCATCTTTCTATAAAAAGTTCAAACTTTGTATAAACATGACAAAGAACTATTCTAAATGCTAATATGGCTTTCTTTTATCTCTTTTTTTCTATTACCTTGGCTTTTAAGTATAGGGTATGTCATTGTTTTGACATCTGCCTGTGGTATGCTTATCGCTAAAATGTGGAATATATACAGTTTAGTGATTTGAAATCAAATTTGACTATTTGTATTATGCCATTTCACAAATAACTTTTGTGGCATTGAAGACACCATGCCATTTTAACACTTGTATAATTCATTTATGCACTGTAATTTAAGATTAACCGTTGGTCATAATATGAACCGATTCTATGGAAAAAAAAAAGCGTACACGCTGTGCACCGTTGCTAATACAAAGAAAACAAATTAATGGTAAAACTCACTTTTTGAAGACCAACAAATGAAATTCCTGAATAGTTTGCCATAGAGATAAATAAAAGAATAAAACAGAAGAAAGGAAAAGAAAGATAAGACAATTAAAATGCAGCTAACAAATGCCCGGACCCAGCTGTCCAAACAGGATTAATAGAGTGCATTAGAGTACAGTGAGTCATGTGGTGCTTTGCAAAATATCAACATGCATTGCATTACATGTTATGCCCAATGGCACTGAATAGATGAAAAGAAATAAATACGTTAAACAGATTCATAGAGGCTTTTCACAGTATTAAAAAAGCAAGGTTCTAGGCTAAAAGAAAAAAAAAAAACCTGGGTTTTAGCATTATGGGAAAGGCAAACTAGAGAGAGTTATCAAGTAATTCACATATTAACCCTTTAGAATTGAGTATTTGAATTTAAGAAGATAAAATATAGGCAGTTGTGGATATTGTACTCAACTATAATCGAGGATTTTTGATCATCTAGCTATGATGTCTCCAGGGCAGGGGGTAGAGTGTGTATTTAACAACTGAATATAAAGCTATAGAATTGTTTTCTCTTTATTTCAGAACTTCTTCCCAGTAAATCCTGGTCATCAGTGCAGTGTCATTTCCCTCCGTGACATCAACTAGCAGCACTACATTGTTTAGATCGAAATATGACTAGTACCTTACGTGAGGCATAGTGAGGGAAATAATAACATCAATCTTCCCTTTTTTCCTTTTAAAGCAGTAACTTTTAAAATTGTAAATAATACTGAAAAGAACTTAGATGTCAGTTATATTTTAATGGGGCAAATAGTTTAGAGCAGAGATATTTTTGCTTCAGAAGTCAAAGCATTCTATGCCTATTTTAAAAATACATCAATAACTAATGAATGATCTTTACTAGAATTGCACAATATAAGTTTTATTTTGCTTAGTAACTATAATGATATCTAGTTTTACTTTTTTTAAGAAGAAAAAAATCATGTTTTATTGATATATTAGATTTTTTCACATAAAAGAGTAAAATGGAATTATACAAATATGTATTAGTTTCAGGAACATTGAGACCCTCAGTTGAATATTTTCAGTATATTGAATATATCATTTATAATTAAGTTGTGATAAAAATGTTAATCATATGTATATTCTTACAGATGAAATGAATAATAGTTGTGATATTAGAGCCCACTGAAAGTACAAAGAAACTTTATTTTTAAATATTTGTCAAAACTCTTTAAATCTGTTATTTTTAGCTGATTTGGATGCTTAGACATGTTTAGATTGAAGATTTTGAAGGCCCCAAATTTTTCAAAACTTTATGATTAGACCTTTTAGCTATATCATCTATAATTTGTTTAATTGATTGGTAAATTACCATAGTAGATTTGAAATATAATTTCCTATCATTATATACATATGCCCAAGTTTTTCTAAAATTAAAATATATTAGGCTTTTTTGGTATAGTTTTGTAAGCAAGAATAAATTCTGACCAAAAAGCACATTTTAGTTGTTTACATGCTCCATGGTTTGCCTTAAGGAGGATATAGCTTATACTGATTGATACTTTGTACACTGTATTTCAAAATCTTCTTTAACTGAAAGTGAAAAGGATTCCCAGAAATGATTCATGTAAATCAGATCAAGAAGTCTCCATTGTGTCAAAATAAAATTCATGAATACATTAAAAAATTATACCAGTAGACTTCAAAGGTATTTTTACCAACTCTTCTTGTTACCAACTTCCTCATTGTTAATTACCTTGTTTTCTTACTGATATATCTTCCGCATTTAAGACATGATTAAATATTGTACATATACTGTTAGATAACAATTCTGTCACTTTCCCAAATGCTCCTTAAATTTGTTTTAATCACCTCCCCACACATTTCTCATCCAATGCCCATACAATCTGTCATCTTCTTACGGGAGATAAAGTGGATTATTCCCCTTTGTTTCCTGTATGAGGGAAGTCTGTTTAAAAACCAATCTTTTTAGAAAAGGGCTTTATGTGGGCTTTCGTAAATGTATCTCTAAATCTTTCCTTCTCCAGTCCTTTTTGTCTAACACTGGAAGAAAAGACACTTTCACAAATACTTTTTAAAATGAAAAATAAAAGCAACCAAACATTTAATTGCTAAGTGAATACCTAACATTTGGCTGATAACAAAGATTTCACTTGGATCCATAATGAAAAACCATTAGTAACATAAAAAGTTGTATTTGGTTTGTGTCATACATTAGTACTAAAAAAATTTAATGTATGATCTTGGCTCTCCCTTGCTGGTCCTTATTGTTCTTGTAGCTCATGACTAAAGATAAATAATGATTGTTACACACATATATTTGGGGGTGTGTGTGTGTGTATGTGTGTGTATATATATACACACACATACATATGTGTATATATATTTATAGATGTGTGTGAGTGTATATGTTTGGATTGTTGTGTAGGCCTTTTTAAAAAAATATTTCCTGAGTGTAGAAATATGTAGGTAAGTATCAGAAAGAATTGACTAAGTAAACGCCAGTTCTTTAAAAGCTGATAGTCTAAGTATTGAAGACTATTCAGATTTAAGGACATAAAACTCTGACTGAGAAAATATCACCAGGACAGTAAGGCTAGTTGGCTCTACATGGTCAGAAATCTGTTGGCAAATATTCAGATTAATTAAACTCAAACTTATTAAGAACCAGCTCTATGTCAGGCACTGTTTGTTATTTATGATACAAATATAGATACAGCACGGACATTGCCCTCTAGGAACTTATGTTCTAAAAGGGGAGAAAGATATGTACACAAATAACTGTTAGAAGGGAGAATGGGATTAGGTGCAAAGGAGAAACAGTCAAAATGCTGTGAGAAGGTTGATGATGGAGAAACCACCTTCCAGGCTGGGGTTGGATAGGTTCCGGGAAGGCTTCATCTTGGAATTAGCATTTAAATGAGAGGATTGACATCTGGAACCTGAAACACAGAGAGGTATTACTTGCCGATCTTGATCTCGCACAGGTAGTAAGTGCTAAAGGCCAGATTTGAATCGAGAGCTTCTGATTCCAAGCCCAGCGTTGTCGTGGCACAGGTGCTCAGGGGATCGGGTTGAAGAATATGATATTGACACACAGCTGTCTGATTTCCATATAGAGCACAAAATTTGCAGCGTTCAGTTTTTCTGTTGTATGTTTTTATACCGTGCCGCTTGAGGGTGGCTTCACATTCCCCCAAATTAATTGTGGACGGACAGCTTCCATTGCTGCTAGCTCATACGCATAAGGAAATGGCTATATCTGAGTGGTGCCACACAGACTTTTGGAAAGGACGCTTCAGTGGACTGGTAGGGATGGAAACCAGATTGCAAACAGTTAAAGAAGTGAGTGATGAGAAAGTAAAGGTGATGAATATGAACTATTCTTTTTAGAAGTTTGATAGAGATAAAAGTAAGAGGGAAAGTGCCCACGTATACAAAATACCGATAGCGTTCTGTTGTTGTTCAGTTATTTTTAGTCATCTATGATTCTTCATGACCTCGTTTGGGGTTTTCTTGGCAAAGATAAAGGCCTGGTATTTGCACCACCTAGCATTCTCCCTTGTAGCAAAGAACTGGAAACTATGGGAGTGGCCATTAATTGGGTAATAGCTTTACAAATTATTGTATAT